GCCCGGCCCTCTGGCCTCCTCAGGATGGCAGCTTGGGTCTCACCAGCGAGCTGCCCGCGGCAGGGTCTGCCATCTGGTCAGGCAGCAGGGAGCCGCCTGTGGGTATGTGGCCAGCCAGAGCCTGAGACCCAAGTGCCCATCCCTCCTGTTTGTTAGGAAAATTGGGGGTGACTTTTGGGGAACCAAAGAGGCCTCAGAGTTTGCCCCTTGTTTCCACAAGCGCAGAGGCCTGGGTTCCACCCTCCCCTCCTCTGCCTCAGCCCACTTGGCTCTCGAGGCCTCTTCTGTTGCTTCACAGCCTGCCCACACTCCGCACCGGCAAAGCCCCTCACAACCGCTTGCTTTGGGGGCTGGTAGCTTTCGCCTCTGAATCAGGACCTGTGAGTGTTACTTAGAAATAGTGCAGGAGTTGAGGAGGCTTCTGTTAGGCTGAGATGATGATAATTGCGCTATTTAAAGAAGGCCCTGGAGCCAGAAGGAGCCAGGTGTCCTGCCTGGTTGTCCTGGAGCACCCCCTGCTCATCAAGCCTGTGCAGGCAGGTGGGGGTGGGGTCCGGGCATCCTAGCGCATCTTCAGCCTCCTCCACATGGGGCCTCTCACTGCCCAAGGCACACTGGCTACCTGCCACCTGGTTTGGAAGGAGGCTGGGGAGGAGCTGGTAGTGCTGAAGCCAATGCTCAGTTGCCAGAAGGACTCAGAAAACTTGGGGAGGCCAAGTTGGACCAAATAGCCAGCACCTCACAGCAGGCTTCTTCTCAGCCTTTTTCCTGTCAGGAGCTTGAAATACCCCACCTGCCTTTGCGCTCCACTGGGGCAACTCATATTCCCCTGCAGAGGGAGGATGCTTTCTACTCTTCCAAGCTATTTATCTACAGTCTCATCCCCCGAAGGTGGCAAAGCGGGAGGTGGCCGTCCCATCCTATAGCAGAGGCCTCAGCAGGCACTGGCAAGCCCAAGGTCACCCCGCTGGTCTCTGTGCTAATTCCGGGCTTCTATATACTGTGTTGCAGGCTGCCGGGGCCTGCTGGCTGAGGCCATTCCCAGGGCTGTTCCCTGTGCTCCAGAGGACAGCATCTGCCGTGTGCACGAGTTTGGCCATCTTGTGGGGTGGAGGGGGGCAGCGGGAGGGGATGAAGGCCTGGGTGGAGCGTAAGGTGGGGCTATGTGGGTTTTGACCTCGCAGCTTGGAGCATTCAGGGTGGAGGGACCTGGGCACAGTGGGTGGCAGAACCCGAGGGAGTGCTGCTATTAGCCACTGTGAGATGGCAGCTGTTGCAAGACTGGGGTAGCAGCCCCTCCCTCTGCTCCCTGCTGCTCTGTGGTGGCACGGTGACCTGGGCTGCCCAGACTCTGGCAGGCCACTGCTTTTCACCTTAGCTGTGACCATAAGCTGTTCAGTGTGGGGCAGGAGCCCCGGGATCAGAGCCTGAGTGCAGTTTCAATGTGTGGGAGCATGTGTGTGGCCACATGGTATATGTGCCAGATCTTTGTGTTCCCGTGCCTGCCTTGGTGTGCTGGTGTGCACATGTGTGCTGGTGTGTGCAGGCGTGAGGGTGTGCTGGTGTGTGCTGGTGTGCACAGATGTGCTGGTATGTGCGGGTGTGAGGGTGTGCTGGTGTGTGCTGGTGTGCACAGGCGTGCTGGTGTGTGCTGGTGTGCACAGGCGTGCTGGTGTGTGCTGGTATGCACAGGTTGCAGGTGTGTGCTGGTGTGAGGGTGTGCTGGTGTGTGCTGCTGTGCACAGGTCGCAGGTGTGCTGGTGTGCACAGGTGTGCTTGTATGTGCTGGTGTGCACAGGTGTGCTTGTATGTGCTGGTGTGCACAGGTGTGCGTGGGTGCACATGCACGCACCTGGTCGAACCATTGGGAATGACTGTGGGTGAGTGCTCTGGAATTCTGAAGCTGATGTTCTTTTATCTGATCCAAGCCCACCCCCTTCCCCAGCCTTACCCTCTGTCCCCTGCCCCCCATTCTGTCCGGGTCATCAGGGCTACAGGACAGGGGGGAACAGATGGGTACAGGAGCCAGGGAACTTGGCCTTTCTTTGGTTCTCTTGCCGAGGTTAGCCCTGCCATAGGCTGGGAGTCTGGGAGGAAAGGGGGTGGGTGGGAACCGCCCCATGCCTGACCTCTTTCCCCCAGGGCAAGGGTCCCAGTGCCTCCTGTCCACGCTGACCCTTCCAATTGTTGTTCCATCTGCCACTTAAGGGGTGCAGAAGAGGCTGTCTCTATGTCTCCTGGATGTGAGGGGTAAGGCAGGACATATCGTGTGCCTACCCCTGTGTGGCTCCTTCCATCCATGCCAGGCCACAGAGCTCTGCAGACAGCACTCTCTGAAGACTGGCTGAGGTGGTGCCTTCTACCTTGCCCACTTCCACCAGGAGTGGGCAAGGACGTTGGAAGCCTGTGGGAGTCAGAGAACCCCCAGAAACGTGTTGCCTGCCCTGTTATACCTTCCTGTGCTCTGACCACAGGGCTTCCCTGTGCCAGGCTAAGCACATGCGATCTGCCATAGCTAGTGACAGCTGGCAGTGCCACCCATGGGCATCTTCACGAAGGGTGATGGTTCCCAGCCAGGAGCAGGTCACACACGCCGCAGCCTTGCTCCACCCACCCCTGGTTCCTTTGCATCGCTCCATGCCTGCTCCCACCCAGAGGTGGCAGGCTGTGAATTCAGAATGGAAGCCTGAGGTGCCAGGTTTCAGGAGTGGGGAGGCCACTTGGGCCAGGGCTTCTTTTCAGCCATGGGCCTGGAGCAGGCAGGTCTCTCTGCCCACCCCAGTGCCCGGCCCCTCCAAGGAGCAGTGCCAGGCCAGTGGTGTCCAGCCTGTGTGGTCCCACACCCACTAGGAGCCCTTGAACCGCCTCTGCACTCACCTTGATGTGCATGTTGGGGGGACGGCAGTGGTGGAGGGGCCAAAGACCCTATTTCGTCTCCTCCCACTCTCCCACCCCTGGTCTCAGGAGGACTCTGGGCAGTCTGCCTGCTGCTCCCCTACCGCTGACTGAATCATGTCTATATTTGGCCAGGGAGCCACGTGGGTGGGGAACCACTCCAGGGCAGCCGCACTTCTGACAGCGGGGAGGGGCGCCCGGGCCAGGGCAGTGGGCAGGTGGGCTCCGGGGGACTGAGGCAGGCCCCATCTGAGTGAGTCCCAGGCGGGTGTATCCCACACTGCGCTGTCCTCCCCACCTCCTGCTCCAGTCCTGCCCCCCCCCTTCCTCTGCCCTGGATGTCCTTCTCCACTCAGCTGGACTCACAGCAGTCTCTTCTCCCACAGACCACTGCCCTTCAGAAACCATGGGCGTTGCTAGCCCCATCTGGGACTCTGCCAGGCTCCGGTGCTCCGTCCAGAGGCTTTTCCAGCCCTGCTCTCCCTGCCTGTCATGGCCACACTTGGCTGCTGCCCGCTTGTCTGGGGACAGAGGGCACCCCGTTGCAGCCCTGAGAGGTTAAGCCAGGCCCTCTGGCTCCACTCTACAGGGGCACTCCAGGCACCAGGCCCCTTTCAGAACAAGAGCTGCTGATGCCATGGGAGAAACCCCTGCCCATCCGTCCACTTGCCTGGCACTGCCCACTCTGAGGCCCATACCCTGGGCCCCCCTGCAGGTGCCAACCCTGTGAACCCCTCCCTGGCCCCCTGACTCTGAGAAGGCCCTGCCCACCCCCACCATGTGTGAGGTGATGCCTACGATCAATGAGGGGGACCCTTTAGGGCCCCCCCATGGCGCCGATGCTGACGCCAACTTTGAGCAGCTGATGGTGAACATGCTGGATGAGCGGGAGAAGTTGCTAGAGTCTCTTCGGGAGAGTCAGGAAACCTTGGCAGCCACGCAGAGCCGGCTCCAGGATGCCCTGCATGAACGGGACCAGCTCCAACGCCACCTGAACTCCGCCCTCCCGCAGGTAAGGCCTGCACCTCCCTCTGTCCCTTTTCCTCCAGCAGCCCTGCTGTAGGTAGCCAGCATCCTCTGGGCCTGCTCTGGGCACCTGCTTGCATATCCATAATGGAATTCACAGAGCATTTGCTCCCCTGCATCTCCCTATACAAATCCTTTCCCTGTCACTCCCAAGTTCCTCAGCCTGGAGTTGGCTTCGCCTGGAGAAATGGATGGAATTTGATGCAGGAAGAAAATCCAGCCGTAGTTGCCAGATGCAGTGAACCCATTCAGCCAGCAGGTGGCGCACTAGACTGGCAAGACCCCTCCGCTCTGGTGGCCATGCAGGGGTGTCTAATTCTTGGGGTGATGGTTGGGGACTCGGAGTGGAGAGGGGAGATCATCTCATCCACCGGTCTTACTGTGCAGATGAGAGAAACAAGAAAACACTCAGGAAATTACAGGCAGAGCTGAATCTCAAAACCAGGCATCTCACTCCTGCTCTGTGCTGGTCAGCTGACTACTGCTGCAACACTAGTCAGTGTTTACTTCTGTGTAATAAGCATTTGATAGCTCACGAAATTCTCACAACTGTGAAGTCGGCACTGTGTGACCATCCTCTCCATGAAGGAGGAAACTGCAGATCCGTCATCCTTAGAAAAGTTGAGGCTGAAAGGCTGAAGTTGGAGATTAGGAAATTGCTCACCCCCTCAACTTTGGGGGAAGGGCCAGGCGCAGCCCCAGGCCCTTGCCCAGTGTGTGTGTGTGTGTGTGTGTGTGTGTGTGTGTGTGTGTGTAAAAAGGGCGCCCAGTGGGTGAGTTTCCTGTCCAGAGCTCAGCAGTGAAGGTGGGGCAGCGGGGAGGTGTGGAGTCTTGTGATGCTTCATCAACACGAATAACAAATAGGGCCAGTGTTGGAGTGGGAGGCGGGAGGCCCCCACAGTGCATGAGGCCTCCAACAAGCCCCGGTGGGAGAGCAGGCAGGTTCCTGTGTCCAGGAATTCAGAGACCTGAAAGGAGTCGGCCACAATCCCAGTGACCGGATGAGAACACGGAGGAGGATGAGCGGGCCCGTGGGGCTGTAAGAAGGCATTGGCCAGGACAGTGGCTGTCCAGCAGGGGCATGGCCGACAGCCCAGTGCTGTCCACATGTTGCCTGGCTTCATCCTCATACAACAGTCAAGGGAAGACTGTACCCCATGTTACAGAGCAGAGAGTCGAGGCTCAGGGCTTCGGAACTTGTCTGAGGTCACACTGGGGTTGGTGCCAGGCCCTCACGGGGGCTTCCTGAGGGCAGGGATTGTTCTCACCAGGGTGCTCCCTGCGACCAGCATGGGACCTGGTATAAGGTTGGTATAAGGTTGGCGCGCACAGGATTGGAAGTTGGCTGGTGGGCCCCCAGGTGCTCCTGATGTCTGCTGGCCCTGCTGGCCGGTATTGGGGGGAGAGCTATCCACAGGGGCCTGGCCATGCCCTAAGCAGGTGTGTCCTTCCAAAGGTGGATGCAATTTCGTCAATGCCAGCTGGGTTGTGCTTTCCAGGTGGGGAGCAAAAGTGTGGTGCTAGAAGCGCTCTGTGGTTCCCCTGGTGGATCTTGGGGTGTATGGGCAGGACCTTGAGAGAGACAGCCAGGATCAGAAGTCTGTGTTTCACATTGGCACAGAGCTGCGCTTTGGGAGTTTACCCAGGCGGCAGGGTATCAGATGGACCAGCACTGGGGATGCATCTTGGGCTGGGGAGACCTGGCAGCAACTAAGAGTGAGGGCGGGAGAGGGGAACGTGTCGGCCTGTGGTGGTGGTGCCCTGGCATGGGCTGGGGTGAGCCAGAGTCACACACACACACACGTACAAGCTTTGCAGTGGAGCGGCATTGGGCCAGGCCTGCCTAACTGCCTTCGGCCGTGGCCATGATTCCAACATAGTAATCGGGTGGTCTGTGGCTTCTCTGGTTTCTCCCCCTTGCCCCATTATTCCCTGCTGCCTTTGCCTGAGAAGGAGTGATAAGAGGGAATGACTTTGGAATTACTCCCTTCAGTCAAGAGGCCCGTTGTGGGGGGTGGTGGTGGTTGTGTCACTGTCCTGCCCCAGACCCCGAGTGTCCACAGAGCTTGGCCCACTCGTCTGAAAACCTTTTTGGAACGAGGTGATGTTTAATTAAACAATCGGGTGTGCGGGGCTTGCCGCTGTGGGCCCAGCCTCTCCCTACTGTGTGCTCCTTCTGAGGAGAGGCTGGGCCGGCAGCTCTCTCAGGGTGTCCAGGCTTGGGCTGGAGGGGCAGGGCCCTCCAGAGAATTGCTCTGAGCAGGGTATTGGGGGAAAGCGGGGTAGGTGCTCTGGTGGCCGGAACCAGAAGCATCTCTGGACTGAGGGACCCTGGAAGCCAGAGTTGAAAACCCCGTGGCCCATTGGGCGGTATGTGGATGCCTTAGCTGCCACTCGGTGGGTCCTTAAGTTCATTCTCACCTGCCACCTGCAGCCTGCATGGGCAGGAGAGATCCGTTTCCTTCTTTTCTAAGAATCCACTGGCCTCTGGACCACCTCAGCGCCTGGGAACAAGAGTGTCTTCCAATCCTAAAGGGAAAGGGCATGGGATTAGGGGGGAGAAAAATGCAAAATGGGAGGGAGGACATGCTTGGTGGCATGCTTGGTGGCTTGCTCCCCGGGAGTCCACGTGTTCCCTCACCCCTCACAGCAGGCCCCCTGCTGTGCATGAGGACCCGGGGAGGAGGCCCTTCTGGGAAGCTCAGGCCAGCTGTGGGCTTCCGCCCTGCAGTGGGATGGAGAGGGATTTTTCTGGGGGCAGGTTGTGGCAGATGGGTGAGAGCATCCACTACTGATGTGGGTGTGTAGGACACTGCTTAGGGGATGAGTCCCCCAGCACTGAGGGGACTTGGGGGCTTTCAGGAATTTGCCACCTTAACCCGGGAGCTGAGCATGTGTCGGGAGCAGCTCCTGGAGCGGGAGGAAGAGATATCCGAGCTGAAAGCAGAGCGGAATAACACAAGGGTAAGTGGGGGTGACTGGGGTGTTTGGTTGTGTGTCTGGGGCTAAGCCCCTTGATTTGGGGAGCAGGCACACCCAGGGCTGGCACTCCCCACTTCTTTCTTACTTCTTTCTACTTTATGTCCCAGGAGGTGTCGCATCCTTTAACCCCCAGGGCTGGACTTCTCACCTGCCATTGGGGGTCCTAGGAAGGTCATGGGAAGGTCAGGGCCCTGGGAGAGAGGCAGGGCCGTGGCTACTGACCAGCTGGAAATATTTTGCCATTGAACAACGGCTCACAGGGCTGCGCTCTTGTCTGCTTGGTCATCATGTGGCTTCTGGGCACGTGCTCACCACCCTCCCTCTCTCGCCCTCCCTTCCAGTTGCTTCTGGAACATCTGGAGTGCCTGGTGTCCCGCCACGAGCGATCACTGCGCATGACCGTGGTGAAGCGCCAGGCCCAGTCCCCCTCTGGGGTCTCCAGCGAGGTGGAGGTGCTGAAGGCCCTCAAATCACTGTTTGAGCACCACAAGGCCCTGGATGAGAAGGTACCAGCCTGGCCTGCCAACTGTGCCGCGCCGCGGCCGGCTTCCTGGGTGTCCCCTGTTGTCTGTCCTCTGCAAGTTCTGCATCCTGTGTCTAGGGGAAGCTGCCTTCTCGCTTCCCGACCGGCTCCCCAGGCCATTGACTAGTCTCCAGGTGTTCTGTTAGGTTCCCTTTTAAAAATATGTTCCCCCCTATGGTGATGGCACATGGGTGACTTGGTGATGGGAAACCCACGGGGATTACAATTGAGATGAAAAAAAAAAAAAAGTACAAGATGACATACAAATAAACTATTATAATATATTAAAAAAATAAAAATATGTCCCCCCGACAGAGCCTTCTCTTTGCCTCATGACCACAAGTGGGGGACCCAGCCCAGGCCTCTCCCCCTGAACCCTGTTTTCTCCTCCATCTTCCCTCACCTTGGGCAGGTACGAGAGCGACTCCGAGCAGCCCTAGAGCGAGTTACCACCTTGGAAGAGCAGCTGGCAGGGGCCCACCAGCAGGTAAGCAGCTCCTGGCAGCTGAGGCTGCTTCAGCCCTTTGCTCTTCATTGGGAGGTGGGAGGGTCTGGAATATACGGGTCTTTCCTTGGCCTCACTGCCGGGCACTGTGCCTACAGGTGTCTGCCCTGCAGCAGGGGGCAGGGGCTCGGGATGGAGTGGCGGAAGAGGAGGGCACGGCGGAGCTAGGCCCGAAACGCCTGTGGAAGGTGGGTCATGGGGGCTCCAGAATGGGGTGCATGCGTCCCCCCGACAGATCCCATCCAGAAGGGTAACGGCTTGAATAACTTTGGAGTTTTCTGCTCATCAACGTGTTGCTTCCCCTACCCTAGCTGCAAAAGCAGAAAAGCTCAGTGTCCTGCTAGTCACGTAATGTACTTGAGCTGTGCCGTCTTCCTGTATGTCAGCAGCACGCAAGACCTCCCTGAGGCTTTGGTCCCCTAATCGTGCCCCTTCCTGGGTTCTGAAAGGCTGAGAGGCCAGGTAAAACCAGACAATATTGTGGGCCCTCCCTGGTGGCGCAGCGGGTTAAAGCACAGCACTGAGAAGCTAAAGCCACTTCCGCATGAGTTCGATTCCCGCCTGCCCTGGAGGTGACCACATGGCGCGGCAGACCTCTCCTGGCCCACCCGCTGCTCCCCTCAGCAGTGTACTTCGTCGATCTGCCTGTTCTGCTCCCCGCTCTGTCTCTGGTGAATCCTCTCACCCCCCCTGAGCCTCTGGCCTGTACCCCAGTTCTGTACAAATAAATAAAAATATTAAAAAAAAAAAAAAACCAGGCAATATTGTTTTCCAAGAGATCCAAAGGAGAGCAGAGGGCATTGTCTAGGGTGAGCAGCTGGGCCCCGAGCAGGCAGGCGTGCCTGCAGGTGGGTCCCGACCCTTGGCACCATGATGGTTCTGGGGTGTTGTCCCCCAGTGCCCGGCCTGGGGCCGAGGTGGTGCCCTGGGCTCTGGAGACTGACTGGGGACACTCTGTCCCTGGAGGAGGATGCTGGCCGGGTGGAGGAGCTGCAGGAGCTACTGGAGAAGCAGAACTTCGAGCTGAGCCAGACCCGGGAGCGACTGGTCACCCTGACAGCCGCCGTGGCTGAGCTCGAGGAGGACCTGGGCACGGCCCGCCGGGACCTCATCAAGTCGGAGGAGCTGAGCAGCAAGCACCAGAGGGACCTCCGGGAGGTGAGCTGGGGGCTGGCCTGACCCCAGCTTGCTGGACTCGGCCCTTGGTACTCTGTGAGCCACCGCTTGGACCCCTGGGTGTGGGGGGAGGTCAGACCAAGGCTGGGGTTCGGGGGGCAGTCCAACGAGGGGAGCAGTGGTGGGAAGCATGGGCAAGGTCAGACGTCAACGGGCAGTGTGCAGGGATACAGCCAGCTGGGTGTGGTGCAGGGAGGCACTGCTGGCCTTCGCTCCCCCGCCCTCTACCCAGGCTCTGGCCCAGAAGGAGGACATGGAGGAGCGCATCACCACCCTGGAGAAGCGCTACCTGGCGGCCCAGCGTGAGGCCACGTCCATCCATGACCTCAATGACAAACTGGAGAATGAGCTGGCCAATAAGGAGTCCCTGCACCGCCAGGTAACTGTCAGCCGGGGTCAGGGCGGCCCTGAAGTCCAGGCCAGAGTCTTCCTGTGGTGCCCAGCAGCCCCAGGGATCCTGCAGGTCACCTTGGCAAAAGGAAGGTCTCTAGCGGCCTGGAACCAAGGCTGTCCCTTGCTGCTTTGGCCCGTTGCCTGCTCTGTGTTGGGACTGGTGGAGGTGGGGCAGACCTCATGCTCCCCCTTGATGCTCCTTCCCGCTCCCCACCTTGCTAGTGTGAGGAGAAGGCCCGACACCTACAGGAGCTGCTGGAGGTGGCCGAGCAGAAGCTGCAGCAGACCATGCGCAAGGCGGAGACGCTGCCAGAGGTGGAGGCCGAGCTGGCCCAGCGGATTGCAGCCCTCACCAAGGCAAGAGGCCAGGGGGCAGCCATCCGCCCTGCCCTCCAGCCGCCCGCCCCCAGCTGTGCAGTGGGCAGAGAGCGGGAGGGGCAAGGAGCGCTGGGCTGGGAGCCAGACAGCCACTTCTCACTGCGCGACTCCAGGAAACATGCTGGAAACACACTGCGCTGTGCCTGCTGGAAGAGTAATCCCTGCCCTCATCACCCCACAGGATGTGCCAGGTCCTTAAGAAAGGGTGCAAAAGTGCTTCGAGAGGCAGAAAATGCTCCTGTCGCAAAGTATTTGATGATCACTTACACTGTCACTGCTAATAGTGCCTTTTGCTTAAATCAAGAGTGGGGAAATAGGACTCTCATCTCTGAAATGATGAAATCTGAGAGGAGATATAATCAAAGATCATCCACCCTGAAGGGGTGGGGCTGGAAATTTCGGCTGAATGTATCTTTCTTGATCAAACTAAAGCATTCTAGATGCGGGAGTCACCCTTGGTTGCTGGAAGCCTACATCTTTAGAAATGGGATTTTTCCCAATGGATAGTAGATTCATGGAGTAATAATTCCTAACATAGTAAATTCTGGAAGAACTAGGAAAATGCATGAGCATAGAAATGTGGCAAATGGCTCAAGAGAATGAGGGGAATTTTCAGCAGGTTGAGGACTTTGGGGGAACCTCATGTAGGTTTATTATAGCCCCCTCCCTTCCCCACCCCAACTGTGGAGGCAAGGAAGCCAGCGTTCAGCAAACAGCAGGCCCAGGGCTCCGGATGACAGGGGCTGGGCTGAGTGTCCCTGGGTCGGAGGATGGAAGCTGTAGTCAGCCTGTTCCTTGGCACCAGGGTGAAGTCTGTTTCTCCCACTACTGGGTTAATACTAACGGTAATGACATTTGTTGAGTGAGTGCCTCCTGTATCATATTTGCTGTGGGTCGTCTCCCTGCAGTTTCAGCGGGTATAGGTGCTGTTTTCATCCACACGTTGCAGTTGAGGAGACTGCCCAGGGCCACACAGCTGGAAAGGGGGGCTGGGATATGAACCCAGGCAGCTGTGCTTGAGTCCATCTTAGTGCTGGTCCAGCAGTCCAGTGCAGATGAGATTCTTGGTAGCTCATGCTCTCAAAGGGAGTTTTTTCTGCAGTCTTGGGGAAGAATTTACAGTGTCTTGATTTGCTGGCTCTGGGGTGCTTTAGGCCAGCCCTGAACAGGAAGAAGGGGGTGAGGGGAAAACTTGGCAAGGGTGCTTGGGAAGCAAGTCAGTGATGATGACAATTCTGCTCTGAGGTGACAGGGGGAGGCTGAGCTTCCTTGGTCCCCAGGAAGCAACCTGGCACCAGGTGGCTAGTATGGAAGGCCTGGCAGGAAGGCAGGCCAATACTGACCTAGCCCTGCCCCCAGGCTGAAGAACGGCATGGCAACATTGAGGAGCACCTGCGGCAGCTGGAGGGGCAGCTGGAGGAGAAGAACCAGGAGCTGGCCAGGGTGAGGGCACCGGACTAAGCTCCCAGGCCCCCTCCATACAGGCCCGGCTCTATATCCCTAAGGATCTCTGTCCCAAGACCGAGACAGTCTGTGAAGGTTGGGGGAGGGGAAGAGTGGGACTGGGGCGGGGCCTGGCCTGGGACAGACAGAGGGGCTGGAGGAGACGGTCAAAGCACTGGAGAAGAGGGTCTCTGGGAGGCCGAACTAAGGCTTAAGCAGGTAGGCTAGACCCTCCACCCAGGGGTTGCGGTCAGAGTGTCCTGGGCGTCCGGTTCGAGGTGGGCTGGTTGTGCAGGTGCGCCAGCGGGAGAAGATGAACGAGGACCACAATAAGCGGCTGTCAGACACCGTTGACCGACTGCTTAGCGAGTCTAACGAGCGCCTGCAGCTCCACCTCAAGGAGCGCATGGCCGCCCTGGAGGAGAAGGTGCTGGGCGCTGGGTGGGCGGGGCTACTCGGTGGGCGGGGCTACTCAGTGGGCGGGGCTCCTGGAGGGGCGGGGTGGGCGAGGGTGGTGGGTGGAGCCTGGAAGGGAGGTGCGGGATTGGGAGAAGACAGTAGACCCTGCCTGAGAGCAGGCTGGCTAGAGGAGGTGGGCTAGGGGTCATTAGGGCAGTGAAGGGCAGGCCTGGGCTCAAGCTGGCCTCGAGGAGCCAGGCAGCTCCCTGGCTCACAGCCCTTCTCCCCTAGAACACCTTGATCCAGGAACTGGAGAGCTCCCAGCGGCAGATTGAGGAGCAGCATCATCACAAGGTACCCAGCTGCGGCCTGCGCACCGGCCTGGGAGGGCTGGGCTTGCCTTGAGCAAGGAGCACAACTGTTTCTCACGCAGCAGCTCTGAGACCCAACACTGTGCAGCCCACTTGTTAACCCCCAACATGTTATTGCACTCATCCGCACTAGAGCCATCACAGCAGATGCGTCTCCAGCCACATGTAAAGAGATCCAGAGCCAGGGGCACAGGGCACAGGTGGGCATCAGACAGGCAGAGCCGAGCGGAGGGCTTTACAGGATTCTGGGGCGCCGGAGCCTCCTTTGCCATGCGTGGTGTCGTGGCGAGGGCTCCCAGGCCTGCTCCCGTCGAGTCCTTCCCCACAGATCCTCTCCTGGCTCTGCCCTTCCGCCTGCCCGCCACAGCCCCTTCTGCTCACTTTCCCCTTGGGCCGCTTCTCTTTGATGTTGTCAGTGGGCCTGGCCGTGGGCCCGTGGCTTTGGACTTTGCAGTGTGTTCTTCTGCTTCTCCCCAACTCTGCTGTCCTCTTTGTCCCTCTCTCCCCTCTCTGCCCCTCCTTGGCCCCCACCCCCACCCTGGGTCTGCCTGGCACAGGGCCGCCTGTCTGAAGAGATTGAGAAGCTGCGCCAAGAGGTGGACCAGCTGAAGGGTCGAGGGGGGCCGTTTGTGGATGGCGTCCACTCCAGGTACTGGAGCGCGGGAGGCTAGGTGCTGGGACGGGGTCCTGGATGGACCCTGTGGTAGAGACGTCCTCCCACCAAGGACGGCCTGGACCTTGGGGTCCTGCTCCTGTTCGGGGTGGGACACTGAGGCTGGGAGAACTTGGTCACAGACCCCCCAGCCCACTTGAGCAATTTAGAAGGGAGCAGCTGTCCTCTGCGGGAGACTAAGGGGCAGGCAAAACGAGGCTGCCCCTTCCCCAGCGCTGTGAGACACAGGCCAGGCCCCACTGCCCTGACAGACGGTGTCCTGGAGAGGGGTCTGCTGAGTGAGAGGCTCGCTGTGTCCCGGGGGCAGGAGAGGCCCACCGAGAGCGTCTTCTTCACTCTAGTTCTTTTGAGACCCTCAGATTCTTCAGGGTTCTGAAGCATTAGCTGTGTGAGAATCGAGGCTCACCTAAGTTTGGGGAACAGGCAGCGAGCAGGAGTGCACAGGTTGAAACAAAGCCCCAGAAACTTCCTGGCTGTTGGAAGCTGAGTTGCCGTGTTACTGATAAGGTTGAGGCCTCCCTTCTCCCGAAAACATTTTTTTTTAAAAAAAGATTTATTTATTTGTGCTTATAGAACTGGGGAACAGGCCAGAGGTATGGTGGGTAACAGAGTCACCAGAGACAGAGTGGGGAGCACAATAGGCCGACGGACGAAATACACTGCTGAGGGGAGCAGCGGGTGGGTCAGGAGAGGTCTGCTGTGGTCCCCATCCCTGGCAGGGGATCGAACTCGTGCTTCAGTGGCTTCACAGAGCTTCGTAATGTGGTGCTTTAACCTGTTGCGCCAGCAGGGAGAGCTCCCGAAAACATTTTTAAGAGATGGTGAGCAGAGCTTTCTAGCTAGTGCTTGAACTAGGTCCACTTTCAAGGGAGCGTCCTGGATCCTTTTCTGCACGTTTTGTGAAGAAGCCGTTGGCATTGAACTCAGACCTGCAGCCGGCCCACAGGCGGCCCAGAGCAGCAGGTGAAGACCGGGGAGTCTGAAGGGCATGACGCGGCTCCAGGCTCATGGTCCTGGCTGTTTTCTCTCCAAACCCTGGAGCCCTTTGGCTGTGCTTTTGCTGCACTAGGGAATGGGGATCAGCTTCCTCGAAGACAGGAAATGTGCAGCAGGAGAGGCAGGGCTCGGCTTAGCCAAAGGGGCGATGCACTTGAAGAGAAGCCTGTGGGTGTCTGGGGTAGGAGAGACTTCCGCACCATCTTCAAGCCCCTCAGGGATCATTGTATGGAGAGAATCAGGGAATGGAGCAGAAAACAGTAACTGGGGGCCTCCTACGTCTCCCTTCCTGTAGGTTGTGTGGCAGAGACCAAAACCCCCAACTAAAAAGACATGTCCCGAGCTTTTGCCTTGCTTGCTTTCCTTGACAGTGGGAATGTTGGCTTTGACTCCCGAAGCACTGGCCCCATCGTGGAGTGGAGGGGGCAGAAGGGGGGGTTAGCAGGAAGTGCCCTCCCCTCCAGCCGCTTCCTGTGACCCTTGTGGATTTTATACCCATCCCTTCGCTCTGGGCTCCTTCAAGGTATCCTCCCGGGCAGGAAGAGGTGGCACCAGGGGAAGCTTCCAGATGCTCAGGGCTCCTGACAGCTCAGGGTTGGACTGGTCCTCGGAGCGACCAGCGGTTTCTCTAGCATATTGCTGCCGGTGTCTTCGGAGCACCGAAGTTTCTTGTGGACAGTTTGTCTGGGGGTGAATTTGGGGGCAGACACGCAGTCCTGACAATGGGGAGGCCCGAGGAACGCTGCTGGAGAGAAGAGCAAGGAAGCAAGACCCTCAGAGTTAGAGGGGCTTCACTGGTCATCCCTCAGGCGCCCCTCAGAGCTGTGCCTTTCTTGCCAGAGGGCCAGGGGCTCTCTGTGCCACTGAGTCCTCTTTGGAGGGGCTCAGCTTTGTCACAGCCACAATTACAGCCTGAGGCCACTCCAGATCCTTCTTGCGGAACGGAAAGCTGCTTCCCTAGAAGTGGGCCCCTCTGAGCCTGGAGCGCTGGAGAATAAGCCCAAAGTCTTGCTACATGGCCGCCCATGTAGACTTTTGCGACAGCTCTTGCCCTGCTAAGACTTCTCCAAGCTGAAGCTCCCTTAACAGTTTGCGCGCAGCGGGCGTGAGCCGGGTGCCCGGTCCTCAGGGCTCGTCTCTCCTCCCCACCCCTGCTCAAGGTCGCACGTGGGCAGCGCAGCGGACGTGCGGTTCTCCCTGGGCACAGGCGCCCACGGGCCCCCTGGGCTGCACCGCCGCTACTCGGCCCTGCGGGAAGAGTCTGCCAAGGTGAGGGGCTGAGCGGGAGCATGGGGGGGCTCTCCGCAGGGAGCTTCGGGTCAGCTCGGCCGCGTGCCTGGCTCCAGTTTCACAGACGGCTGGCGTGTGGTGCAAATCCTCCCTGGCCCTCCCTGGTGTCCGTGACAGCTGCAGCCCTGGGGTTGGGGCCATCGTCAGCTGCAACAGCTGTGGCCCCCCCTCATCTCAGCCTCCTGGGGGAGCATGCGGTAGGGGCTGGCGGGCGTCAGCTGGTCCCTGAGGGCCCATTGAAGCGTGGGCCTGGGTGTGCAGGCGTGCGTTTCGGGAGTTGGGGTGGGGGAGACAGGGGCAAGCTGGACTTGGAAGGCTTTCTGGATCCATCGCTGTGGTTTGTGGAGGGGAGGAGGGAGGAATGACAGGTTAACTAGCCCTGGCGTCGGAAACTGAAGTTTCCTGAGGAACAGCTGGGAATCTGTTCTGAGTCTGTGTAGGGAGATTCTGGGGCAACAGGAAAGAGGGCAGAAAAGCACAGCTTCTGTCTTCGGGGGATTGCCATTCCTTCTTGGTCTCATGAACGTTAACCGTGCTCTGTGCTGGGCTCAGGTCTTCTCCGTGCTCTGGGCACGAGGAGAAGTAGATAGAGAAGGGGGACGAGCCTTTGGGAAACCCCTAGTTTGATGGGGAAGTCAGTCAGAGGCACCTCTTAGTCTCTCTCCTCACACTCCTTTCAGTCTCATTTACGAGAACACAACAACTTCCCAGGAGCTGGAGGAGAGCCCCGAGAGGACCTTGGGGTTGGGTCACAGAAGGTGGGGTTAGAGTCCCTCTCTGTCCTTGCCCCTTCCTCCCTCTCCCCCCCAGCCATTTCTGGGCACTGTCCTCTGGGTCTCTGTGTAACAAGAGGTGCTGGGCCGGTTTCTGAGAAGCCACCTCCCGATCCCAGAGCCTTCCTCCCCTGCCTCCTTTGTGCTGGTCTCTCCTCATTCAGTCCTCACAGATACTGTGGCTTCGGAACTGCAGCTCTCCCCATTTTACTGACAATGCCACTGAGACACAGGGGGGTCGCACAGCTGGCACTGGGTGGAGGGGCAGGTCAGAGCAAGGCCCTGTCTCTCTGGAATCTGTTCCCAACCTGTGTTATCTAACTCCTTGGACTCCAGTAGTATTTCTTAGGCGTTGCTGTGCAAATAGTCACCCTGGGATCTTGTTAGAAACGCAGATCCAGAATCAGTAGGCCTGGGACGGAGCCTATGCGATGCCACGCTGGCCCTCGGGGCTCCTGGGAGAGGCCAGTGCTCGGTGGACAGTGGACGGGAGGGCCTGCTTCCAGCCATCGGGTATGTCTTATTACGTCTCCTTTACCCTCTTTCTTTGCTAAGGACTGGGAGCCATCGCCACTGCCTGGGGTGCTGGCCCCCACAGCTGCCTCTGCCTTCGACAGTGACCCTGAGATCTCCGACGTGGATGAGGATGAACCAGGGGGTCTGGTGGGCTCTGTGGATGTTGTCTCCCCCAGTGGCCACTCCGATGCCCAGACCCTGGCCATGATGCTGCAGGAGCAGCTGGATGCCATCAATGAGGAGATCAGGTTGGGCAGGGGCCCAGGGCACGGGAGTGACCTGAAGGACAGGGGCCCCTTCCTCCTTTGGGCTTTGCAGGAAAAAGTCCAGCAGGGTTGGCCTGTCCAGACCCTGTGTGGGCCATCAGGCAAGGTCCTAACCCAGTTCTGGACTGAGAAGGACAGGGCCTCAGATTGGCTTCATTTCCCTCCCAGAGCTGGTAAGGGGCCTTGGGAGACACAATCACTAAGATTGTAGCTGATGGGGGCCCTTGCTGAGGGAGAATTTTATGATCTTACCAAGGTCATAAGGGAGGCGGCATTCTTTCCATTTTACAGAGTAGGGAACAGGAACCAGAGATGTTGAGTGATTTTCCTAAAGCCACGCAGCGAATAGCAGAGCCAGCATTTAAACCCGGATTTAAATTCAGCCTCTTTGCTAAGCCTCACACCCCTAATGTGTCATCAAACAGAAACCAGGGGCAGAAAAAGTTACCAAGGCCTGCACTTTGCCCTGCTTTGATACTGTTCATGGCCAGCAGCAAGGAAAATTCCAGGCTAGAGCCTGTCAGAGTTTCATGGGCTCTCTTGGCATCTGGTGCGCACACTTCTGGATTCACAAACCAGCTAAAAAGACGATCTCTCTTTCTCTCTCTCTCACACATAGATACTAAGACAGCCAACATTTGTTCCACAAAATAAAATATTAAAAATAACTTTCATTTCCCATCACAACCATTCTGCAAAAAAAAAAGGACATTTTAACACTCCTAAAGACACCCAGTTCACATTGGGTTGCTTGTCTGTGGGTCCTCACCTGGGCGCTTAAGATTCAATTGTACTGCGGATACACACAAAAAGGTTCGATAATGGGTTTATTTACAAGGGGAAAGGAAAAGGAACAACCCAGGGGAAGAGAGAGAGATACAAGTTAACTAGAATGTCCTCCCCGTTCTGCTGACTTGGAACCCCAAAAGCACACTGACAGCTGATGGAGAGCCAAACGACCAGCTGCGAGCCACCAGACCAAGAGACCCCCAGAGCCCACATGTCGGGCTTTATCCCAACCTGGCTGCTCAGCTCCGCCCTCACGTCCCAGCGTGCTTCTCCTTTGTACTGATGGGATTTGGAGTTCCAGTATCTGGAGTGGGGGCGGGTCCATCAACCCTGTATCTGTTACACTTTTAGAAGGAAAACAAGTCCTGCTCCTTGGTGACAGTTGGCATCTCTGTGTCAGGGAGAGTGTGCACATGCGTGTAAGTAAGCACGCACACACTCCTCTCTGAGGGCCCCCGCCCCTCCCCCACACATACAACACTACCATGATTTTTCTGTGGAACAGAGAAAACTTCAGTGTTGGCATCAGGTAAAGGTCCCGTGTTTGGGAACTGCTGGCTTAGACCCCTTCTGCCTTATGCACGCTGGACACAGGCCAAGGTCACCTTTCCGTGTTTGCTAGGTTAGGAGCTCTGACACTGCTAAGTCAGCTGTGGTTTGTATTCTGTATGATGGTTTGTACTTCATTTTCCAAATTGATGGTTTGTACTTCATTTTCCTTTCTCAGCTAGCTAACAAGAAAGAGAAAAACATGTTTCCAAGATGCTGGGATAGGACCGGCCATGCCCTCCCAGGCCTTTATGTCCCAGCAATGGCAGAAACAATGGGGTTCAGCTGGGCATTGCCTTCTGCTTGGGCCCCAGGTTGGCGAGGGCAGCAGCCCATGCCTCCTGATGGCAGGACCTGCTGGTCCTCACTGGAGCTAATGACGAGGCTTGGTTCTGTCTGCTGTCCAGAATGATCCAGGAAGAGAAGGAGTCCACAGAGCTCCGTGCTGAGGAGATCGAGACCCGCGTGACCAGTGGCAGCATGGAGGCCCTGAACCTGACCCAGCTGCGCAAACGCAGTTCCATCCCCACATCCCTGACGGCCCTGTCCCTGGCCAGCGCGTCCCCACCGCTCAGCGGCCGCTCCACACCTAAGCTTACCTCCCGCAGTGCCGCCCAGGACCTGGACCGAATGGGAGTCATGACCCTGGTGAGAGTCTTAGGGTTGTCATCACTGGGCCCCCATTTGGGGGGTGGCTAGGGTGTGGTAGGGCTCTCCCCTCTCAGCTGGACCTGACTACTCCTCCCCAGTGTGGACCCTGGCAGGTCAGGCCACCGTGTCCGTCGGGCGGGAGAAGGCCCTTATAGTATCTTGCCTGCCCTCGCCTTGAAGCACTGAGCGCTTAAGAAACCCACTGCCCACGTCTCTTTTCAGGCAGCATTTTTTTTTTTTTTTTTTTTTTGCTGTGATACTCTTTCCAGGCTTGTGTCCTACTGAGATACTGAGTCCTACCTTCTCAACCTATGACCACTGGGCTCCCTTGGGGTTGACTTTTGGGCATCCATAGCGTGAGTCTGAGCTCGCCCTTCACTCTCTCTTCCAGCCCAGTGACTTAAGGAAGCATAGGAGGAAGCTGCTGGTGAGTGCTGTGCAGCCACCCAGGGAGGAACGGGTCACCTCTCCCGGGCCCTGCCCCCAGCTTCTCCCTGGGCCCTTGAGCCTGAGTCTGAGCTTGGCGAGGCCCCCAGGGCCTCCTGCCTGTCTGGGCTGGGTCGGCAGCTCTCCCTCTATGCCCTGACGGCTCCACTGTCTGTTCAGTCGCCAGTGTCTCGGGAAGCGAACCGAGAGGATAAAGCCACCATAAAATGTGAGACTTCTCCTCCTTCCTCACCCAGGACGCTGCGGCTAGAGAAGCTTGGCCACCCAGCCCTGAGCCAGGAAGAAGGCAAGAGGTAAGTGGACCTGGTGTCACCTCGCATTTCCACCCCCAAGCTCACCTTGGCCCTCCTGGGCCTCTCACCTGTCCCAGGAGTCCAATGTCTCACTTGTCTGAGAACCGCCGTTGGGAAGGACAATCCCAGGCCTCCTTTGGGTGTCTGCTCTGATCGTACCCGCTCCGGCCCCCAGACCCAGCTCTGCCAGAGTCTGGGTCTTCCCGAGGTTTGCCCTCCATCTCTCCTGCTGTAATTAAGTGTGTTTCTTCCCTCCCCGCCCTCCTCCCCAACTTCTGCCCCCTCATGCTGCAGTGCTTTGGAGGATCAAGGCAGCAACCCCAGCAGCAGCAACAGCAGCCAGGACTCCTTGCACAAGGGTGCCAAGCGCAAGGGCATCAAGTCATCGCTCGGCCGGCTGTTCGGGAAGAAGGAGAAGGGCAGGCTGATCCAGCTGAGCCGGGACGGCGCCACGGGCCAGGGTCTCTTTCCTCTTCCTAACCAAGGGGTGTGCGTGGGGAGCCGGAAGTGGGAGGGCGATCGGTCCGGTCTCCTCTGCCTGCCCCCTGAGGCTGGTGGGTAGAAGCCATAGGCAGGCAGATGTCAGCTGGAGTAGCAGGATCTGTTGGAGCTAATCGTGGCGGGAAGTAGCCTGCTGCAGGGTCAGCTCTGCTGCTCGGAGTGAGCTCGGAGTATCAGGGAGCAGACAGCCTGTGCGAGGGGTCTCGAGGTGCCATGAGAGATTAGACTTCTGAGCTTCCTTACGGTTTGGCAGTCTTCTGACGTGCTGTGCGTAGAACCTCAGGAGAGAGGTCTGGGCTCTTCCTTCAGAGAGTTGGCTCTTGATTAGAACATACTTCTAGTTCACCTGACACCGGACTCAAAATGTCATGATGCCCGAGGAGGATTAGTAGACGTTATAGTCAAGTTCAGGGCCAGCTCTCTTCCTACCTCTGTGCTAATGCGAAGTTCAAGTTCATGGGTGGCAGGGGGTGCGGTACCCCCTCAGCGTTAGCTGTCTCCCTCTCTCCCCATTCCCTCTTTCTCTCCTCCCCCCCTTCCCTTCATCTCTCCAGTCATTTATTCAACATATTTTTTGTTTGTTTAACATATTTATTTTGGTTTTAAATTATTTTATTTTATCTAGCTGTATTTTTTTACAGCATTTTTCATTTTGTGCATTTTTTCATCTCAGTTGTAATCCCCGTGCCAACAATCCACCAACAATTCACTCCTGTGCCATCACCATGGTCCCGGCGGGACGAGCATTTGTTCAACATGTATTAACTATCGCAGACAAGGCTTAGTAGCGGTGTTGGGGAACCGTCTCTTCCTTCACATTCAGTATCTAATGAAAAGGAAAGAACAGAGATGATTCCAAAACAGTGTCATACGGAGACAGGGCTGGGCTGAGCCCTGGGTGCTGGGCGGACAGGATGGGTTTCCTCTGCCAGGGCTGGACTCCAGGGCTGAAGCTTGAAGGCCAAACAGGAGTTAGCTGAGGGAAGGGGGTTATGAGAAAGGCAAGTTCATGGGTGTGAGAGTTTTGTGCACTGTTGAGTCTGTTGCAAGTGGGGAAGAGAAGGTAGGGGGTAGATTTGGGCCCACTGGACTGGGCTCTGTGCTCAGGGTCCAGCAAAGCACCCTGAAGACAGTCAGATGTCCCCCCAGGCAGGGGAGAAACCCGATCCACCTGAGAGAAACCTTTAAACCTGAAAGCATAATTGCACCTTCATCTCAGGAGGGTGTATATTAGTGCAGAGCTAGAGGGTGGAAGAGGAGGAGGAAGAAGAGGGGAGGGAGGAGTTGGAGAGGGAGGAGGATAAGTTGTTGTGGGAAAGGACCTCTTTTCAGGACGTGGGAGCCTCAGTCAGAGTGAGGAGGCCTATCCTGCCCCCACCCACAGGTGTAGAGTGAGGACCCCGCCACATAAGGAGGCTCTCGAGCTGAACAGGCCCCGTCAGTAGGGGAGGTGCCTTGTGATTTCCTGTGTCCCCACACCACGCTGAACCTAATGTGCCTGAAACAGTTTCCCAAATGGATTTCTGGGTTACCCATACCCCCTGCCCCCTCGGCTGTGCGGGGAGTGGCCGGGCACCACTGAATTCTGCAGAGATCTGGCCCTGGGTCAGGACATCCCTAGCAGAAGAGGATCTCTAAGCTGCATGTGCTCCCTTTTGGGGACCTGAGTCCTCCCTGGGGAAGAGGCCAGGACACAGCGCGCCTTTCCACTCCCCTGGCCCAGGCTGCTGTAGTCTTCTCCAGGCCTGTAGCCCACGGGCATCTGCCCTTGAGTGTGGAGGAGGAACAAGTTCTGTCTAGGGCACTGCTGCCCTTTGAGTGGCAGTATAGATTCAGCAACTGGCAAACACCTCCAGGGCTGAGGCTCCACAGCGAGACTGGGCTGGGGTGACGCACACCATCACTGTGGGGCCACTTTGATACAGGAGCATGGAGCAGAGGCTCCAGAAATAGTGGCTGGCTCCCACTCCTTTGGATTGGGGGTGCCTCTTGCTGCTCTATCCCCCAGTCCTGACACAGGCCAAGGAAGCAGAAGCAGTAGATTCAGCAACTGGCAAACACCTCCAGGGCTGAGGCTCCACAGCGAGACTGGGCTGGGGTGACGCACACCATCACTGTGGGGCCACTTTGATACAGGAGCATGGAGCAGAGGCTCCAGAAATAGTGGCTGGCTCCCACTCCTTTGGATTGGGGGTGCCTCTTGCTGCTCTATCCCCCAGTCCTGACACAGGCCAAGGAAGCAGAAGCAGAGGCCAGGCTGACGTGGCATCTTGTCCCTTCTAGTTCTGCTGACCGACTCCGAGCTCAGTCTGCAGGAGCCCATGGTGCCGGCCAAGCTGGGGACCCAGGCAGAGAAGGACCGGCGGCTGAAGAAGAAGTAAGAGCCACAGGGCTGCTGTACTGAGGGAGCCCAGCCCCCAACCCACCGTCCTTCCCCGGGGCTGCCATGGACTCAGCTCAGGCAGCCAGAGCCCAGCGAGGCCTGAACTGGACAAAGCATGGTTCTTAGGATAACAGCCTGGGAGAAGGGGCCCGGGACACTGGCAGTGTCCTTGGAGAGCAGACTGGGGTGTCTGTGTGTCAGTGCAGGTGCAAACGAAGAGAGCTCCTAGCCTTCCTGGGCATGGGGACTGCTTCTTCCCATGGCTTGGTGCCATCCTGTGTCAGGCATAGAGCAGAGGTAGCTGTCCCGCGGTGGGGGGCAGGTGCAGGAGCCCAACTCCATCCCAGCCCATGGTCTCCGGGAATAAGCAAGGTTGAGAGAGAAGAGCAGACAAGTGAGCCTCTTGTTCCTCTTCCTGCCAGGCACCAGCTGCTTGAAGATGCCCGCAGGAAAGGGATGCCCTTTGCCCAGTGGGATGGCCCTACTGTGGTCTCCTGGCTGGAGGTAAGGCTGGCCAAGGGCAGTCCACTCGGCGGGGGTGCATGAAGGATGTGTGTTTGAGACAAGGACTCCTCGGGCGAGGGATGGTGCCCTGCAGCCTTCTCCATGTCTCCCCTGTGATTGCACAGGTATCATGCATTGCATGTAGCCCCACCTCCCACAGACACCCCCCATTATTTGGGAGAGCAGAATTGGTGTTGCTTGTGGAGGCCTATGGGTAGCTAAGTTTGCATAAGGCAAGCTAACTTGTCCTGAGCTGTAAAATGTTCACAAGTAATTGGCTTTCCTGTGGGCTTGTCTGGGAGCCAACCACCAGGCTTTATTAGGAAAATCCTTTCATTGTCCCAGGCCTCCAACTTTTCATCTGGGAAATGGGAAAGAGAGGCCTTTGGGATGGTCCCGCTGCTCTGTCTTTGCGATTCTGAGACCCTGGACGGGCTGGCCCTTGCCCCGGGGCTAGTCCTGCCCTTGGCCATGGAGCCCAGGTCTCAGGCAAGGGGCTGAATGACCCTCCGTGCCCTGTGTCTGCAGCTCTGGGTGGGGATGCCTGCCTGGTACGTGGCAGCCTGCCGAGCCAACGTCAAGAGCGGTGCCATCATGTCGGCCCTGTCGGACACAGAGATCCAGCGTGAGATCGGCATCAGCAACGCCCTGCACCGGCTCAAGCTCCGGCTGGCCATCCAGGAGATGGTGTCCCTCACCAGCCCCTCGGCGCCCCCCACCTCCAGGACGGTGAGCGGCCACTGCCTCGGCAGGGCCTTTTCAGAGACCCCAGCACTGCATTCGCCTGTCCCCTCGATCTTTGGGAAGATGGTGGCGTCGGGGCCTCCCCAGCCCTCGCATCCCCCCAGGGGACTCCACTTGGGGTCCACAAGGAGGTGACCTTGACTCTAGGAGGCAGACCTAGAGTACCACCTCTGGCTCCGTCTTCCCATTCCAATCCTGCCAATGATATCAGATCTCTGAGGAGTTTCTAGAACAGGATTTCTGGGGCCTACATTGTTGCCAAACTGGGAGAAGTAGAAGTAGGGCACTTGTGAATTGTCCTAGCTCTCTAGTCTCTTCCTTGTAGACTACAGACCACACCCTGGACCCCCAGGATAAAACTTCCACCGTAGTCTATCTTTATGACTGGGATCAGCCCTCATTCCATTCATTCATTCATTCATTCATTCATTCATTCATTCATTCATTCATTCATCCATCCATCCATCCAGGAAACATTTGTTGGGCACCATCTGTGTGCCAGCACTGTGCTAAGCAGTGTGGGTACCATGGTAAAGGAGAATTGTTCAGAACTAGATGGTGTGTTAGTGTTCTGAGCCCGGTCAGAAAACTTGGGAGGGGAGCTTTGCCCTTGTACTTGGGGTCCCTAGCTGGAGAAGCATCCTGGGGACCCACACATAGGACCAGCTAGGTTTCTCCTCTGCCTGCAGTCTTCCGGGAACGTCTGGGTCACCCATGAAGAGATGGAAACTCTGGCAACATCCACTAAAACAGTGAGTCGGAGCCTGGGTCCTGGGCCCGGGGATAGGGCTGATGAGTCCCACGAGGATAAGGGGGAAGGTGTGGGGGCCCAGAGGGTGCTGTAATATGAGGTTGGCATCCCTGCTGTGTGCCTGGGTTCTGTTCTCAGGGTGGCAACTTGATGCCAAAGCAGTGAGATGTGGAACCGTTTGTGACTCTGTGGTGTGTGTGTGTGTGTGTGTGTGT